ATGTCAGTAGTTACTGTGGTGTGAGTACTGTGTATGTCAGTAGTTACTGTGTTGTGAGTACTGTGTATGTCAGTAGTTACTGTGGTGTGAGTACTGTGTATGTCAGTAGTTACTGTGGTGTGAGTACTGTGTATGTCAGAAGTTTACTGTGGTGTGAGTACTGTGTATGTCAGTAGTTACTGTGGTGTGAGTACTGTGTATGTCAGTAGTTATTGTGGTGTGAGTACTGTGTATGTCAGAAGTTACTGTGGTGTGAGTAATGTGTATGTCAGTAGTTACTGTGGTGTGAGTACTGTGTTGTCAGTAGTTACTGTGGTGTGAGTACTGTGTATGTCAGTAGTTACTGTGGTGTGAGTAATGTGTATGTCAGTAGTTATTGTGGTGTGAGTACTGTGTATGTCAGAAGTTACTGTGGTGTGAGTACTGTGTATGTCAGTAGTTACTGTGGTGTGAGTAATGTGTATTGTCAGTAGTTACTGTGGTGTGAGTACTGTGTATGTCAGTAGTTATGTGGTGTGAGTACTGTGTATGTCAGAAGTTACTGTGGTGGTGAGTACTGTGTATGTCAGTAGTTACTGTGGTGTGAGTACTGTGTATGTCAGTAGTTATTGTGGTGTGAGTACTGTGTATGTCAGAAGTTACTGTGGTGTGAGTAATGTGTATGTCAGTAGTTACTGTGGTGTGAGTACTGTGTATGTCAGTAGTTACTGTGGTGTGAGTACTGTGTATGTCAGTAGTTATTGTGGTGTGAGTACTGTGTATGTCAGTAGTACTATTGTAGGGAGTACTGTGTATGTCAGTAGTTACTGGGTGCTGAGTGCTGTGTATGTCAGTAGTTACTGTGGTGTGAGTAACTGTGTATGTCAGAAGTTACTGTGGTGTGAGTAATGTGTATGTCAGTAGATTACTGTGGTGTGAGTAATGTGTATGTCAGTAGTTACTGTGGTGTGAGTACTGTGTAGTCAGTAGTTACTGTGGTCGTGAGTATGTGTATGTCAAGTTACTGTGGTGTGAGTACTGTGTATGTCAGTAGTTACTGTGGTGTGAGTACTGTGTATGTCAGTAGTTATTGTGGTGTGAGTACTGTGTATGTCAGTAGTTACTGTGGTGTGAGTACTATGTATGTCAGTAGTTACTGTGGTGTGAGTACTGTGAATCTGTCATTAGTTACTGTGGTGTGAGTACTGTGTATGTCAGTAGTTGCTGTGGTGTGAGTACTGTGTATGTCAGTATGTGCTATGGTGTGAGTACTGTGAACCTGTCAGTAGCTACTCTGTGAATACCTGCTCAATTCTGTGAGTTAACAAACTACAGCGACAACAACAACTATCACCACTGACCACCACACTAATTCTTCTACCACAACTACTACTATTACAGCTGCTCAAACACCTTAATAAAGCGATTGAACGTTGGGAGAAAATTTGGTAAGAAGACTGAGAGAACACTTCTATGGAGCTGGTGTTCCTGAAAATTACAAGTGCTTAAGACCTGGTGACATAGTGATTATTGACAATGATGGTCCGAGGTCCCAATGGTCTCTTGAAAAATTGTGACCATATATCCTGATGCAAATGGAATCATCAGGACAGTTGATGTTTTGAGCAAAGGTGTAGTGAATAAGCGGACAATAGATAAGTTAGTGCCGTTAGAATTACACAGTGTTGAAAACAAAAGTAATGATTCTCCAGAAACCCCACAGACTAAAGCTGTTCAGAAAAGACAATCAGCAGTGGTGGCGAGTGAGAAAATTTAATTAATGTTAAGTGATGAATAGTTCACCTGCAGCGAACATCAGCTGCGGAGAAAATTTCTCTAGGAGGGGGTATCGGCCCCCTTCAGCCCTTTTCGGCCCCTTTCAGCTCTGAGGGACGACCCTCTCAGAAAGGGCAGTGGCGTCTTACTGGCTTCCACATCAACACTTTAATTGGAAGCAGATGACCAACGTGTCATAGTCGTGCCACTCCTTGCAAGAGACCAATATTGCAACTAGGGTGGATTAATGAGGGACAATTAATCTCTTATCTTAGCAGGAAAATTAAGAAAAACCCTGAACCCATTCATTTACAAGTTATTGCTATTATACACTGATGTCTATGCCCAGACAACAAAAGAATCAAGCATCCTGCATTGCTTCCTGTGGCATTTTGGCAAGGAAGGGAAAATTGCTGGAATCAGCATATCTTTTGTTTGGCTGGAGACGCCGAGGGCAGCCGAGACTGACGCGGGACAGAGGCCATCAGATTGAAATAAGAACTGGTCCAAGAAGCGTGTTATACATGCATTGACCTTAACAATGGAACTACAACAGTGCATTCTTGACCTCTCAGACAATCTCCATTCATGACAGAAAAGAGAAGTGTGCACAGCTTCTTGTAGTGACATTACTGGGAACAAAGGACAAGATTGAAAGACAGTGTGGTGCAGTGTTGCGAACATTCGTCAAACAAATAGTGCATCATGAGACATAAATTCTTCAATCAAGACAGTGGATATCCGGATGACATTTAAGGGTCCGATACAAATACCCAGGTAAGTCTGCTTAAGCGTAGTTTAGTTCAATTGACTGTGCAGTTGAGAGCTAAAGTTTGAATTAGTCAGCTTTATCATACACCTGGTTACCCGAGGGCCATCGAGCCCAAATATGTAAGTAAAAAAGGCATTGTTCAGTATTCAGTTACTGAACGTATGTTGCCATATGTTCCTTTGGGGCAATTATATACTTACATATATTTCTCAACAAGTCCAGGGTTGTAATTCCTGTACAGTTACATACCATATGTCGATGTTCTACAAAAAAATCCCAAAAACAACCACAACTGGTGGTGATGGTAGCACCATAACCACCACAACCACAACTGGTGGTGATGGTAGCACCATAACCACTACAACCACAACTGGTGGCGATGGTAGCACCATAACCACAACTGGTGGCGATGGTAGCATCATAACTACCACAACCACAACTGGTGGTGATGGTAGCACCATAACCACCACAACCACAACTGGTGGTGATGGTAGCACCATAACCACCAAAACCACAACTGGTGGTGACGGTAGCACCATAAACCACCACAACCACAACTGGTGGTGATGGTAGCACCATAACCACCACAATCACAACTGGTGGTGATGGTAGCGCCATAACCACCACAACCATAACTAGTGGTAACGGTAGCACCATAACCACCACAACCATAACTGGTGGTAACGGTAGCACCATAACCACCACAACCACAACTGGTGGTGATGGTTGCACCATAACCACCACAACCACAACTGGTGGTGATGGTAGCACCATAACCACCACAACCACAACTGGTGGTGATGGTAGCACCATAACCACCACAACCACAACTGGTGGTGCTACTCTCAGAGCTAACAACAACATACACACGTATGTATTTAGAACATCTCTTAATAATTATTTCATCCCTTCCATGGATGCGGGTATGTGTGTGTGTATGTGTGTGTGTGTGTGTGTGTGTGTGTGTGTGTGTGTGTGTGTGTGTGTGTGTGTGTGTGTGTGTGTGTGTGTGTGTGTGTGTATGTGTGTGTGTGTGTGTGTGTGTGTGTGTGTACTCACCTAATTCACCTAATTATGGTTGCAGGGGTCGAGTCACAGCTTCTGTGTGTGTGTATATATATATACTATGGATGTATGAGGCTAAGAAGTGAATGATACATGCATTAATGTTGTGGTAGTAAGAATGAAAGCAGGAGAAGGTTGGAGTGCGAGGAGAGTATCGTCACAGGACGAAAGTTAAGTGAAAGTTCACAGACTAAAGACAAAATCGTTTCTAAGAGGTTGGCTGGAATGATTGAGAATGATGGTGTCTGGTGTGGACGTAAGAATGATGAGGATGATGGTGTCTGGTGTGGATGTAAGAATGGTGAGGATGATGGTGTCTGGTGTGGATGTAAGAATGATGAGGATGATGGTGTCTGGTGTGGACGTAAGAATGGTGAGGATGATGGTGTCTGGTGTGGATGTAAGAATGATGGAGGATGATGGTGTCTGGTGTGGATGTAAGAATGATGAGGATGATGGTGTCTGGTGTGGACGTAAGAATGATGAGGATGATGGTGTCTGGTGTGGATGTAAGAATGATGAGGATGATGGTGTCTGGTGTGGATGTAAGAATGATGAGGATGATGGTGTCTGGTGTGGATGTAAGAATGGTGAGGATGATGGTGTCTGGTGTGGATGTAAGAATGATGAGGATGATGGTGTCTGGTGTGGATGTAAGAATGATGAGGATGATGGTGTCTGGTGTGGATGTAAGAATGATGAGGATGATGGTGTCTGGTGTGGATGTAAGAATGGTGAGGATGATGGTGTCTGGTGTGGATGTAAGAATGATGAGGATGATGGTGTCTGGTGTGGATGTAAGAATGATGAGGATGATTGTGTCTGGTGTGGATGTAAGAATGATGAGGATGATGATGGTGTCTGGTGTGGATGTAAGAATGATGATGGTGTCTGGTGTGGATGTAAGAATGATGATGGTGTTTGGTGTGGATGTAAGAATGATGAGGATGATGATGGCGTCTGGTGTGGATGTAAGAATGATGAGAATGATGATGGTGTTTGGTGTGGATGTAAGAATTATGAGGATGATGATGGTGTTTGGTGTGGATGTAAGAATGATGAGGATGATGATGGTGTCTGGTGTGGATGTAAGAATATACTACGTTACATTCATGGATGGACATTCTACCTATCAACGTCGCTCACTGGTTATGGAATGAGACAGCCGGGAGGCATAATCAGGTTTCAGTCGAGAAAGGGGACGAGTAGCTTTAATTCCAAGGATCAAGAACCCTCCTTTAGCATCACAGCACGCCACTCCCAATACCTCTTACAAGGAAGAATGTCGTGTTAGTGTGTGCAGCAGAGACTAGTGGCTGCAGGAGCAGGTGCACGTTGGAAGAGGAGAGAATGGGAGAGGGTGTTGTGAAGTTTTAATGTTAGGTAGAATGACAGGGAGAGGACTCACCGCACTGCCTACAAGCCTTCCTACAACTGACGTACATCCACGTAGGGTTGGCGTCACACTCGCCCATATCTGCCCACATCTGGCAATGTTTGACGTTGTCCTCACACTCCTCTGTGGGTGTGGGCAGGTGATGTGCTAATATGGAAGTACATTCGTGGTATAGGTACACAGATGCAGACAGGTACATAGTAGGTACCAAGGTGGTCATAAGCATGGTATAGGTACATAGGTACATGCATGTATGATGTATATATAAAGAATATAATGATGTTATGTGTGCACAAAGACTCACACAGGAGTGATATGGGGCACCTAAAGTCGGTACCTGACCAGCCGGGCTGTGGCTCGTACGTTGGATTGCGTGCAGCCAGCAGTAACAGCCTGATTGATCAGGCTCTGATCCACCGGGAGGCCTGGTCACAGACCGGGCCGCGGGGGCGTTGACCCCCGGAACTCTCTCCAGGTAAACTCCAGGTAAACATACATACATCAGTACACACACACATATAAGTAATATTAACACACATATAAAAATTTATATACTCACTCTCCAGTTAACCAAAACTTTTCTCCGTTAAAAATAATACTTACATTTAAGATTTAAAAAGAGAACTATGCGGGAAAATACTGAGATAACTCAGACGGGAAATTTGAAAATTAATTCATTGGCGAGGATGGTTGTTGTCATACAACACCTGGGTCATACAATATCTGAGTCATACAACACCTGAGTCATACAACACCTGAGAGGGTAAGGTAAACATATATGAGAAAATAACTGCGCGCGTGTGCAGTCAAGCAGAGGCTGGTGAAGACCACTCAAGACCTTCTTGAGGCTCTGACAAAAACCAATGGAGATCTAACAAGGAGAAACGATGATTTACCTGTAGCAGCTGCTACGAGGGGAGCGCTGGTGGTGACGTAGTGAACGGAGGTGTTGGCACAATTGTACAGCTTCTGCAGCTTAGCCACGTCCCACTGTAATGTGTCAGTTATGTAGCAGCTCACCATGACAACACCACGTTATGATAACACCTCCACACTTTGATAACAATATGTTACAACACTAGGTGAGAACAAGACATCTACGGACCCACCTTTGAAAATCCTCTCCTCTGACCGATTTCCTTGCCTGTGTCTCTGGGGATGATGGTGGGTTTACCCTCCTTGGCGAAGGCGTATGGCCCCCGTAGTGCATCACTGACTCTGTATGGGAGAGTGTTGGTCGTGAGGGAAAGTGGTGGTGAGGGAGAGATGGCGGTGAGGGAGAGATGGTGGTAAGAGACAGGTATTATCAGTACACTCACCGAGGTCGTAAGGAATCCCGAGGCTCTGAATTTTGTCCCAGTTGTACTTTTCAAAGTTATGCCACATGCCGTCCTGGACGTTGAACTTGTTTAGTGTGATGTAGTTATCACGGTCGTAGCGTGACTGTTCATGCCAGAACCCAGCAGCGTGCATGAACTCATGCATGACAATACCCACGTACAGGCAGCCAGGACCCAACGATACTTGCTGCGCTCCCGTCACGCGACCCACCGAACTCGAGCACCTACAGGAACGGAACATTCTTATCGCAGGAGGAGGACCTGAACTCGAACAAATGTCAATATGAAATTTTTCTACACTGTTCAGAAAAAAATCTACTTAAACACTAGACTTGAGGACGAGGATGACGCTTACCCTTGAGGGCAAACATGCCTCTTACCCTTGAGGACAAGGATGACCCCTTACCCTTTTGAGAACTAGGACGACGCTCATCCTTATGTACAACACTCACAACCGGGAACTAGGATGACACTCACCCGTCACCCTTGAGGATGTGGATGTAGTCCTTCTCGATGGTACGAGGAACGAAGCGGATGCACGACTGTTGATGAAACTCACTCATGGCCTTAGCTATAGTGGCTCGCTCTGTCTCCTCTGTCAAGGAGAGTCAACACCAACAGTTAGACAACACTCACTTTAGTCCCATTGTGGTAAATAGTGTGATCACTTGTTTGAGGCAGAGTATTGGAAGACCGTGGTGCCGGAGGAAGTGAACCCAAAACTGCTGCCTGCTTGTGGTGGCTTCTACTCATGTTTACTAACTCATATCAGCTCTAGGTAACTGCCTCGCATTCATGGTAAATGTCCCAGTTTATAGAAGTTTAAAGCGAGCGAGTTTATAGAAGTTTAAAGCACTACAATTAATACTTAAACTCCCCAAAACACTGTTCCATTGTTCATTGATTGCGTTGGCACTAATACCGTTACCCACATTTATGTTGCATCTCCTGTCTCGGAGTTTTATATCGTTAGTCTGTATGTTCGTAATGAAGATTCAAACTTTACTGTTCTTGTCTGAAGCCTCTCTATTTTACTTCTAATGTAATTTGGAGACTAAAATAACATATTGAGTGTGAGATCTGGCAACATTATTCAACAGTGGCGTTTTTTAATATTTTGTACTCGAATTTCGTTGTATAAATTCTAACATTGTGTTAGCTTTGTTATTTCTTGCTAGACTTAATTTACCGTACCTGAGTTCACTGCTAATGACCAGTCCAAGGTTCTTCTCTTCTGCAGTATTTAAAATTTAGTAATTTACATTAATTAGTACTGAAGTCTCCGACTATAGCTCCCAATCATCCCGGTCACTCAATATTTCTATTACCGAAGTTTTGTACTATGACGCAGGAGTTTTAAGGAACTCCATTTGTTATGTTTGACCTCTCGGGTTCTTCACCCTTGAAAACCATTATCTACTTCGAATCAATCAGCCAAATTTTTTAATTTATCTCCTATTATTAAATATGACTTTGCCTAACAATGGCATCATTCTCTATGGCATGTGATACCCAAGACCTTCATTAGAAATTGTTGTACACTTCGGCCCTAGGGACTTCTGAATCCTGGATTTATTTTAATGACGGGAGAATTCTAGAAAATGTGCTAGGCATGATTTTTTTATTAGTCTGTATATTCCGAAAAAATAAGCAATTATGTCATTAATAGCAGTTTACAATAATTCCCCCTTAAAGACAACGTCATAGAATTTTGCTTCTATGTGAGTATTTCAGCTGTTACACTGAGATACAGAGAGACAGCCTCACCGTAGGTCTGGGAGATGACGTAGGGGATGATTCCATTGGGCCAGCGTCTGTATACATCATTAAGTGCACTGCGTCCTGTCCTATTGTTCTCTTTTGTCTGTGGGAGGAGAGTGTCTGTACTGCACATAATATTCTTCTCTCTCAACTATATTATTATCATACCTTATATTATTATATATATATATATTTTATATATTATATATATATATTATAGATATTATATATATATATCCTAGGGAGTAGGTTGGTAGACAGCAACCACCCAGGGAGGTACTACCGTCCTGCTAAGTGAGTGTAAAACGGAAACCTGTAATTGTTTTACATGATGGTAGGATTGCTGGTGTTTTTTTTCTGTCTCATAAACATGCAAGATTACAGGTACGTCTTGCTACTTCTACTTACACTTAGGTCACACTGCACATACATGTACAAAACAATATATATACATACCCCTCTGGGTTTTCTTCTATTTTCTTTCTAGTTCTTGTTCTTGTTTATTTCCTCTTATCTCCATGGGGAAGTAGAACAGAATTCTTCCTGCGTAAGCCATGCATGTTGTAAGAGGCGACTAAAATGCCAAGAGCAAGGGACTAGTAACCCGTTCTCCTGTATAAATTACTAAATTTAAAAAGAGTAACTTTCGTTTTTCTTTTTGGGCCACCCTGCCTTGGTGGGAAACGGCCCCGGTTTGTTGAATATATTATATTATTAAAAATATTATATAATTTTTTATATATATATATATATATATTATATATATATATATATATATATATATATATATATATATATATCTATATATATATATTATATAATTATATATATATATTATATTATATTTTAAGTGCAGGCATTTTCTTCCCACCTCCAGGATTCAAGTCCAGCTAACCGGTTTTTCTGAATCCCTTCACAAAATATTACCCTGCTCACTCTCCAACAGCTCGTCAGGTCCCATAAACCATTCATCTCCATTCATTCCTATCTAACATACTCGCACATGCCTGCTGCATGTCCGAGCCCCTTGCCCACAAAACCTCTTTTACCCTCTTCCTCCAACCTTTCCTAGGACGAACCCTTACCCCTCCTCCCCTCCATTACAAATTTATGCACCCTCAAAGTCAGTCTATTTTGTTCCATTCTCTCTAAATGGCTAAACCACCTCAACAACCCCTCTTCAGCCCTCTGAATAATACTTTTAGTAACTCCGCACCTCCTCTTAATTTCCAAACTATGAATTCTCTGCATGATATTTACACCACACATTGCCCCTCAACACATCTCCACTGCCTCCAACCTCCTTCTCGCTGCAACATTCGCAACCCATGATTCACACCCATATAAGAGTGTTGGTAGAACTATACTCTCGTACATTTTCCCTTTTGCCTTCATGAATAATTTTTACATTAACATAAATGAAAAAAATATATATCTTTAAACGTATAAGAGAAAATTTTAAAAAGGCTTAATTATATATATATATTATATATATAATTTATATATAAAATTATTATATATAATTTTATATATATAATATGTGTGTGTGTGTGGGGGTGTGTGTGTGTTGTGGTGTGTGTGTGTGTGTGTTTGTGTGTGGTGTGTGAGTGTGGGTGTGTGTGTGTGGTGTTTGTGTGGTAGTGTTTTCCTTTCTTGATGGTTTGTGCAGCCTTTAAAGCCCTTGTTAGTTTCCCCCC